TCCAGAGAACACTGAAATATGCTAAAACATTATCCTAGGAAAATGTTTTACAAAACTTATGATGTGCTTTCATTTACCATCATTTACAATACTTGGATACATTTTTAAAGGTTCCGTGCTTTTAACAATCAGTGCAGAGAACACTATTGTGTTAGGAATACAACAATGTATTCCTAACACTATATCATCCTTCTTTCTCTGCCTCTTCGGTGTTTCACCCATACCCCCACCATGAAAGGGTTAAAACCCTTTAATTTACTTACCTTACTCCAATCCTGAGGTCCTTTGGAACTGGATCTGAATCCACCTCCCTCAAAGAGTAAAGAATTCTAGCTTTTTATTGCCACGATAAAAAAAGCGCACCTTCCTTTAACATGAAATATTATTAAGAATTTCAGAATGATAGAAGTATTACGTTCTGGATCATTCTAGAACAAAGCATTTTGTTTTACAAAATGATGTATAAATGCTAACACCGACTCTTTCATATTGCTTTGTAACTTTACATATCAAGAGATTTATTCACACAGTACAATCTATTGTTTTATGAACAGCTGTCCATATCATTAGGACATGCTTAAGATACACGAATTCTATCAAAATATGGCTAATCTTGTAGGGCTTTTTGCCGTTACCTGATCACTCCCATTGGAGCATCTTATAAACCATGCTGACTTTTTCTAGTTTCATCTTGTACATCTGTTGTAAGTTTAAACATCAAATGGGTCATTTTTCTTTCTTTCTTTTTTTGTACTTTTTTTTGTATAGCAAAGTGCATTTTACGGAGTTGGAGAACATTGTGGTGATTGAGATTCTGCAAAATAGACTTACTTTTAATAACTGAGTGATGCCATATGTGGAATCTACTTATGTTTATAAAGCATTCTGGGTGGGTTAATCACATGTCTTTTGCCTTTCTTGAAAGCTTAATTCCTTGTTTACACACTGAAAAACAAATGCTATGCAGGGACAGAGCTAGCTTCCTCATACAAAAGGACCTCTTTTAATATCTGCTTTTCCAGAACTGGAATTTTTGCTTTGTTTCAATTATAGTTAATTTACAATTTTATATCGTGATTTTACTTTTATTGGAAATTCACATAGGTAATTTAAACGTCAAGATTATCCAAACACAGCATTCAAAATAATTGATAAGTTTCAACTGGCTTGGAATACATACAAAAATTATAAATATTGGGTCTGACATCATTTCCAAAATACAAGAAAATTAGCTCCATGAGACAGAAGCCAAGTGTTTGATGGCTCTAAGGAATATAAAATAAATATGACTATTCTAACAATCATGGTACTGTTTATATTGAGAATGGTTTGGGAATTTTCTTTGCCTCCCATTTACATTCCCATTCCTATCATTCTTTGAGTCCTTTGTCTTTCATTTTATTTTGTGCTGTCTTTTCTGTGTTTTTAATATATCCCATAGATAACAGTTATCTTGTTAAACACTGTCTCTACCTGCCCACATGGACCATCATTGGATAAGTCAAAGGATTTAAGATCTTGCCTTCACTCTCCTTGTGCTACCTTAAACTGCCTTGTAACGGCACCCCCAGGCATAAAAGGGTTAAACTGCCGTTTAGAAGATCTTCCCCTTCCAGAGATACAGGCACAGCTACTGCAGAACACCAAACTCCCGAACTGCATATAAGGGAATGCTTCAAACTCCCGAACTGCATACAAGGGAATGCTCCAAACTCCTGAACTGCATACAAGGGAGTGCTCCAAACTCCTGAACTGCATACAAGGGAATGCTCCAATCTCACGAACTGCATACAAGGGAATGCTCCAAACTCCCGAACTGCATACAAGGGAATGCTCCAATCTCACGAACTGCATATAAGGGAATGCTTCAAACTCCCGAACTGCATACAAGGGAATGCTTCAAACTCCCGAACTGCATACAAAGTAGCACTCCAAACTCCCGAACTGGAACCTCACGAATAGCTGCTAGCAGACTAACAGTAAATCCCCCCAAAGACGAGACAGAGCTCCGTGTTGTGGGTCAAGCAGTGGTCTGTTTTAATGAGGGCTACGTGCCCAGTATTTATGCAAGTCTCCCACCTGGTGGACACTCCCCTGGGGGACCAAAAGGGAAACTGTGACAAGGGACAGACATGAACCAATGACAGACACACAGAGGTAAAACATCCCCACAATGCATCCTAACTTCCCTCCCTCTGTCCTGGAGATAATTGGGAAGTAATCCAATTATCTCCCAGGGCAGAGGTAAAACTCCATTAACCACATGGTTACAGTAAAACACTAAAACACAATAAAATACACCATTTTACATTTAACACACAAAATATATACTTGCAACCCATCCCCAGATAGCTGGGATCTGAGCGCACAAAAGTACCGAATAGCGCTCAGATCCTATGCACACAGTCCAATCGCCGTGGAGTTAAAGTGTTCCTAAAGTCTGTTCTCCATACGAATAGACTCCACGGGATGGCTATCTGGGGTAATGCTGTTCATACGGTTTAAACTACCGAAAGAACAGGCATTCGGTTAACTGACTGAATGCAGAAGCAAGGAGGCTGACGGGTCAGCGGTTTTCGCGCAAATAAGTGTCCGTTTACAGTTCCACAGTGTGGGCGCTGAACACCGCTGGCCGTTCGGGACTTTAAAATGGCCGGCGCCACGTATTCGGCAACCGAACAAAGGCCACCCAGCATTCGTCAATTAAGCTGCGGTTAACCGCAGCTTCTGGGAGGTTAGTTGCCGACACACTCCAGCTCCCAGGTGGTCCAGTCATTCGTGCGTTAGTTCGGTAGATTGAATCTACCGACCGCCGGGCAGAAAGGCACGAATAAGCCTTTTCTGCAGGGGAAAAGAAGTCTTTTAACATGGGGCCATAATCCAAAGGCAACAGGCGAGCAACCAGGCTTCTCCAATGCAATGTGGCGAGATTGCTCTCGTCACAAGCCTCCTAGACCAGGACTATCAGCCTTCGGCACTCCAGATGTTGACCCACAATGCTCCTACAACCATAATGCTGGCAAAGCATCAAATGAGATGTAGTCTACAACATCTGTAGTGCCTGGCCTAGAATATGTGTATGGACTTGACATTATCTGTCACGTTTACTCTGGATTGCAACTGACTCTAGTCTTCAGTGACTGTGTGTCTGTGATTGTGACCTGATTCTATAACTTTTGAGAGTTTCATACAATGTGGTATGCTTTCATACTAATTATTAAGGTAGACAAAAAGTTATACAATAGTCAATTCTAAATAGTTGCAGCCATCCATTCCTGCGATGTCCACTGGAACACATCACTATTAAAATTAAATTACTCTGAAGTCCAAGTGTTTTTTTTTGCCCTTTATTCATTTAACAATAGAGCTCCTTAGAGATCCAGATTCCATAAATCTCCCCCAATCCATAGCTGAATATGTAAGTGAGCTCAGATAGACATTATGTTTCAGACTTTATCCCATATCTAGTTAAGTAAAGGAGGGCTATACAATGTGCCTCACAGATACAATATGTTGGTTCTTTAAGCCTTAAAGGGACACTACACTGCCCAAACTAAATACATAAATAAAATAAATCACTGTTTAGTAGATATAACCCAAATAAAAACATGTTAAAAAGCATGTAACTGTGCATTTTAATTGGGGGATCTCTTGTCTGAAGCCTTTGCAAGCCCTATGTTTTTAACTCAGCTCAGACTTTCTGGCTGTCCAATCACAGACTTTCCAATGCAGCACAATGTGGAGTCGTTGTAATGCAGGAGGTCTGCTCAATTGACTGCCTCTTCAGTTTAGATCCACTGAGCTAAACATACCGGGAAGTAACAGAACCAGTTGTCTGATTGACAGCCAGGGGGGTGTAACAATGTTAATTTATAAAAGTACCAATTTCCATTGAAATCTGATTTTTCAGAAGGCTTAGGAACTAAAAAAAAAAAGCACGATATTTTACAAAGAGAAATAACTAGTTAAATATCCCCTGTGATTTTAATCTAAAAAATAACGTTGGATTGGTAGACATATGTAGACTTTGATATAAAGAAAGGAAATTGTTTTGTCTTTTCTATGGCAGATATCTTTGCACATAATGTGATATAATAAAAATAAAAGTATGTCATGTTTCTAAATGTAATGTTTCTCAGATATTTCATTTATATAATCCTTCCGATAAAAGTTAAAAGAAATGGCTTCACACATTGGTAGAGAGAAAGCAGGAAGGGTGTTCACAGTATAAAGTTACACATAGTTTAAGATATCAAGTTCAAGACAGAAACCATTTCAAGAAGATAAGAGGTGCTAGAACAATACACCATTGATTGGAGTTGGAGAGTGGAAGACTGAGAGGTAATGTAAAAAGATACAACTTCAGAGAAGAGGTAGTAAATACCTTGAATAACCTTTCAAAGGAAAAGGTAAATGAAAAGGTAAAAACACAGTGAGAGTTTATGGAATGCTTGAAACGTCCATGTCACAATATTCTTATAGTAAAATAAGTAAGAGTTAAAAATGGCAGAGTATATTGTCTTGATTTCCCCTTATATGTTTATTAAATGAAATACTGGCTCAATATTAAATGTAGAAATACTATAACACGGAAAATAATGGTTTATTAGTTAAAGAGGTTAGAGTCCAATTTTTTTAATTTATTTTTTAAATTCTTTATTTTTGTGTGCATAGACATACAAGCACATATAGACATTTAAGCAAGGGTATATTCCAGCAGTTGGAAATTGGGTATAACATTAAATATCAGAACCACTGCACATTTTATAAGTAAAACATAAAGTAAAGTGTGCATGAGCTAGTGCAGAAATATGTTAAGCAATGCTTATAATACATGAGCTGTCTGCACAAGTATTGTGTAGGAGAGTGTAAAGCCACCAACATTTTTCAACTGGGCCCAAGGTGACAGCCATGGCAACTATTAAAGGCCACCTAACATGAGGTAGAAAAGGGAGTGAAAGACAGGAGGTGGAAGAAAGGCTGATTTGCACTTGGGCACTATGGAGATGCCCTTAGCGAAGAAGGCAACTCCAGAGCCGTGGTCCACTCATCTGATGCCCTTGACTAGCAAGTGTATTGGGCATAAAGACCGGCAAAGGATTCCACAGATCGTTGCCTCTATCCAGTTCCAAAAGCTGCGAGGCCCCTTCTCCACCATCAGACCTAGTCCTCCAGCGCCCGAGGAGCCTATTGCTTTGTGCAAGGGTTGTCGACGACTGGTCCGGGGATTCTGTTCGCTACCCCTTTTGGAGTGGGGATTCTGAGCAGGAGTGTTATGAACAGGATTCTGAACAGTGGCTTTGCTAACAGGCTGAACCCCAGCAGCTGTCATTATGGATTGCCTCCTCCATAGGTTTCGCCAAAACCTCCGACATATGGTGTCAAATGTGGCATGGAACCTCTCTTCTCAGCTTTGCGTCGAAGACTGTGTGGTGTGCTAGGCAGGAGTGGCCATTTTATTCAGGCCCCGTGGGAACCTTCTACACCCGAATCACACTGGAGCCGCTTGGAAGGTAAGTACGGGGCTCGTTGGTTGGTAGGTTAGACCAGGCAGTCCCGGACAAGAGATCGCCGCTTCCCTAGTCAGTAAAACACACCAGGCCTCAGCCAGTTGGAGGACACAGCACTCACACCTCGACAGTAGTCAGACCCAATGATGCGCCTTTGCCACTCAGAAGGTGCCAGACTGCGATATCAGTGGCAGGGTATTGCTTATTTGCGTGGGTATATTCTTAGAAACTTTAACACAATAAGATTTATCAGGAGCTGAGCCTTGCTGCATCCTCACAGTATGGAGGTCAGGCCCAGCCCTAGAGTACACGTTTTTATCACCATGCATGTCCTTTTTATATCTGTTACCATTTCCATTCTGTCCCATATGTATGTAGGAATACTTTTATGTTTTAAGCAGGTTTTTAGGAATTGCCTTTGGTAGATAACATGAAGTCTGAATCAAACAAGCACTTTCCTGTCAAGAGAAGAGTGCGTTTACAAAATGTATAGGATGGATCGGTTTACAGTTTGTCTAAAACTGAAAGAAAACAAATTGAAAGACATATTTGGTGCATGAAAGATTATTTACAAATGTTTAGTTTAAATCTTTTTTGTGTTTGTTTTTTTTTCTAGCAGGGACATGAGTTACATACATTTAATAATTTGCCCAATGACCATAACAGCCCAAGTAAAGTTAGTGCTGATCCACTAAACAATTTATTGTAGGTAGTTTCATGGGCAGTCAATATAATATGTCTCTTCAAATTGGGGTCTCTATAATATAGTATGTGTGAATCACACTTCAGGGTTGGTTTAATCATTAAAGATCTAAAAACACAATTCTACACTTGCTTCCATATGAAAATGGTTTCTGAATGTTCAAAAATACCTTAACTATTTTCTTCTATGAATACTCCCACAAATAGAAAGTATTATCAGCGTAAAAACCACATTAACTTTTGTTGATCATTATTCATCTGATCATGAGATTGATATGCTGACATCATGAAGTTAACAAGTAAAGTGGTGATTTTGCTGGTTTTGCCATCACATTGCAGTAGTGATAATTATAGACAAGATGCTTGCCATTAGCCTGTTCCCAATGAACAATTATGTTAATTTATGATTTCTTTGAGAATGATTGAGAAGTTATATTAGATTGATTAATCTCACTAGACTTGTGCACAGCAAAAAAAATATTTTGGCCAAACCATTTGATTCCAAAATGTGAGGATGGACAAATATTGGCTATATGATGATTGGGGACAATTTCTCAGGAATTTGTTAAAAAAAAAAAAAAAATAGATTCAGAAAAAGAATCTGACGGACCGAAAGGGTGCAAGAATATATATTTGGCAGTACAATGATAGGCTCAATTTCCTGCCATTTGTTTCACAGATCAAGTCACAAAAAGTTTACATATGATTACCGATTGGCCCAAATTCAAACAAACAAGAGATTTATAATGGAACAGATCTCCAAGTCTTATCCAATTTTATTGAGAACAGCGTAGCTGGATTGCGTAATGTACGCTATAGGGCAATTTTGGGGAATAGATAAGGTGAAACTGTCATAAAGACGCATCATAAATATGTGATTGTGTCAACATCATTTCATTTGTAGAGTTCTAAGACAAGTAAAGTTAAAAGTACAATTCTATGAAGTAACAATGAAATAATACAAACCTTCAAAATGACTATAAATATATTCATAGATTTCTCGTTTCTCATGCTGTAAAACTTTGCATTAGTTTTCCTTACCAACTCTTACATATTTAGGTCATCTTAATTTCTTCAAACATCTCCATCTTCACATTTCTTAAATATGTTTGTACATTGTATTAACTTATTGCACAGTTTGTTACTAAAAGGTGTGTAGGATTGTGTTTATTTCAGAGCAGTCCATCTTCCTAAACCATTGCAGTTGTGGACGAATGATCTAGTAGGTGTTTTCTAGATTCTAGAATCCAAGCAGAAATGCAGTTAATCAGCTGCTGCTTCTGTTTCAAGTTTCAACCACATGGATTTAGATACAGTCTGACTGGAATAGGCTGCCCCAGCAGGGTAAGCAAATGCAACATGTACATAGGTTAGATGGATTTCATGTCATTAACTAGGAGCTCTATTTAATGGAGAACATGGAAATCACATCTGCTTGCATGTCATCACAATTTGAATCTCTTAATAAATACTATCGCTTCCCATCTTACTGACGCATTTATGACTGGTGAGTGTGTGATGTCATCTGACAGAGCCGGTGGAATAAAATTTCACTACACTGAAGAGTCCTGGGATTTATGTTCTGTGAGAAGACGGTAGGTAATGGTGAGATTGCTGGGATATTGACTTCATATATAATTATTTTCTTCTCCTTATGTGTCTTTTGAAAAATTGTCAGGGAGAGTGAGCAGAAAAAAATGTTCCAGTTCAAAACGATTGGAAATGATGTGATTTATTTGAAAATTTTAAAGGTTTTTGGGAATAATGATATGCCATATACCTACGTGCAGCATTGTCTGACCAGTGTGGAAATGGTGATTTAGTGGAGTACTGTTAACACGGAAATGAATTCAACTGTATTGTATCCTTCATATGATGTAAATTATTTTTTGAGGATGGAGATGGAATCAATTTATACTCCTTCAATATAATCATGAACATTCAAAAATATAGAAATGGTGGCAAGATGTCACAAAATGAAATAAGTTAACAAAATAAATCATAGTCATCATTAGTTCTTTAGCAAGTACAGTTCGTCGTGAAAGATGAATGAGCATACTAAAATATTAAAGGGACACTATAGTCACCAAAACAACTTTAGCTCTATTAAGCAGTTGTGGTGTATAGATCATGCCTCTGAAGTCTCACTGCTCAATTCTCTGACATTTAGGAGTTAAATCACTTTTGTTTCTGTTAATGCAGCCATAGCCAAACCTCTCATGGCTATGACTGACACAGCCTACACTGAAACAAAATGGTTTAATTTAATTACTTTAAAACGTTTCATCTCCTGCTCTGTAAATTGAACTTTAACCATACACAGGAGACACCTGCAGGGTCTAGCAAGATGTTAACAGAGCAGTAGATAAGAAATGATAAATTAAACATTACTTGCAATAAAGGAAGTGTAAACATTAGATGACTCTTTACAGGAAATGTTTAGGAAGGCTGTGCAAGTCACATGCAATGAGGTGTGACTAGTGCTGCATAAACTCAGTGATTTAACCCCTAAATGGCAGTATACTGAGAATTGAGACAGCAGGGGCATGATCGATACACCAGTGCCCTCTAAATTGAAACCAAAGCACTTTACTATAGGTTTTACTAACTGACAATAGTGACGAGCCTTGGAGATATGAAAAACAAAACTGAGAATCACTGAATCACAATAATGATTGGGAAGCTTAGATCATTGTATAGCTTGCATGTCTAGGAGTACTCAGGGGGTATGGTACCATGTTCTGCAGCCATAAATGCAAATAATTTTGGTGATTTCAAGATGCGGACATAGATGTAAGTGCCTGTGATATGATCTGAAGGGTGTGGCTTAGATGCTGGTAATGATCACATCTCAAAACCAGGTTCTGGGTGGGCTTGGTTCAAATGAAAGTATTAAGTTTCCCCCCTATGTAAAGCATCTCCTATTGGGGATTTGCCATTAATCATTATGGATTTTAATGTTTCCCTTTTGGTTCAGGCAGGTGTAAAGTTTCTTCATGATACCACAACTAACTTGCTGTGCATTCTTTATTCTTTTCCTTTGATAAAATCAGTGTATTGTAGTTATTTACAAATCTCACACTTGCTCTGTTCTCAGTAACTACTCCAAAGAAGTCTACTAAGAAATTGACTAGTTAAGAGTTTGTGTGTCTGGACAAACTTTTACTGACAGGCCAACTTTCACTGTATTATAATTTGTATAATAAATTCTGTAATATGTACGTCTCTGTACTTTTGCTAATTCATGGTTAACTGATGTTGGTTTTACCATATCTGCTGATAATTGAAAGGTGTTTTCCATTGCCTCTCACTGTAATTCCCTTATTGAACTCCAAATGACAATTATTTATAAATGGTCCCATCTGTGTTAATAAATATGGATCCAAGCTTGTCATCCACTTGTTGGAGATGTTTTCTCCAAAAAGGCACTATGTACCACATGTGTTCATGCAAGGGTGTTCATTCGTTCATTCATTTATTCATTCTCTCTGTTACTGCAGTTAAACTACCTTATACTCCCCTTTGTATACTCTTAAAGGAACACTATAGTCACCAGCAGAACTACAGCTTATTGTATTTGTTCTGGTGAGTATAATCAGTCACTTCAGGCTTTTTACAGTAAACACTGTCTTTTCAGAGAAAATGCAGTGTTTACTTTATAACCTAGGGATCCTTCCACTGGCCACACCTCATATGGCTAATAGAGTTGATTTCTGGGGCAGTGCTGCACAGTGTGACTGCCGTTCAGTGTATCCACCCTCTGCATGCAGACACTGAACTTTCCTCACGGAGATGCATTGATTTAATGCATCTCTATGAGGAGATACTGATTGGACAGGGCTAGTTGGTGTTTTTAACACTATAGGGTCATGTTTGTTAGATTGTAAATATTATAAATGGAGATCTACCTTTTGGCCACCCTTGTGCTAGAGTTACACCACTGTTCTTTTAAATTCCATATTGATTGCAGGTTATTTAAAGTATTACTCCAACCAAAAAACAGTGTTTTAAAAATCCAATGTTTTTGGATGGAGTAAATCTTATTGACACGGTCTCCCTGCTAAACGATCAAATAATAATAGATAGTCACTACAGTGAGAATTACTGGAAATTCTAAGTGAATTTCAACATGTAGGCCAAAATAGCTAAATTAAGACAATTCCTCATGCAAATAGCTTTGGCTATTCAAATTGTAATTCACTTTGAATTGACTCTGAATTTTCAGCAATAAACACTCTAGTGATTACCCATGTAAGATAAGGCTATGTGAATTGAACAAGACATTATCAAGGTTATCCAGA